TATATATATATATATAAAGTCCTTAAATTTATATTTATATGTTTGGCTGTTGAGCAACTCGCTTAGGAGCTTTCCAAGATGATATCTTAGTGGAGTAAATAGAAGAAAACCCCACAATTTGACACTTGCTCCTTCTCTATGCTATATGAGACATGATTCTCAAGAGTAGGGTAGTATTCCCATTGTTTTAAAATATGTTACGTAGTTTGCCTCGACACAAAATTTAAAAAGACGTACAACTTAAAATTTGTATAGTTTAAATATATCATATTATTATTGTGGTTATAAGATATTTGACACTTATGGTCTTAAACAGTTTATAATATTTGTATGGCTATAAAAATTTCTTCTCATTAAGATAAAATGGATAAAATGGAATATTTGAAGTTAATTATTTTTACATATAGAGATGTGTCAATTTGTTTGTTTTTATTTTTTTTTTATTATTTATTTATTTATTTATTTATTTTGTAATGAGCTAATAAGGAAATTTTGTTACATAAATTGAAAGAGAAAGAATTGTTTTAGTACAAAACACACATAACAGGTTTGAAAATCAACTATATTACGTTAAGGTTGTCAACATCATCACTTCTTAGACATTCATTTATAAGGATGAATCGTGGCCTTATTTTTCCCACCTATAAGAAAATCTAGACTCTGAAGGTATGAATAATTATTCGAACTCAACTTTTCGGTTATCAACTATTAGGTTTTATTCCAACCATTCGGTAAAGATTGTACATTGGGCTCCTGTTTAGGTCTACTTTCCTTGATTTCTGGCTTTGTAGGGTCTTTTCTTCAATTCTTTGAGCGCCTTGTAAACATTTTAAAACTAATTAGAATAAATGATCTAAATAAAAACAATATACTATTTTAAACTTAAATATTTCTTAAAACATAAAAGTCACTATAATATTACTGGTTTCAACAAGTGGGCGTTTGGACATAAGAATGGTAAAATTCGGGAAAAAGGTGGGAAAAAAAATTCAAGTTAAAATGGTTTGAAAATTAGAGCAGTGTTTGGACATGAATACAACTATGGGTTATTTTTGAATTTTTGTAAGTGAACTGAAGTGAAAATTTTGAAAAAGTACTTTTTGGATTTTTTCAAATTTTCAAAAAATTTCGAAATTTATCTTCAAGTGAAAATTGAAAATTTATAAATATTGATTTCGGAAAAAAGTTAAAAAGAAAATCAGAGAAAAGTAAAAAAAAATTATGGCCAAACAGGCCCTAAATTTCATAATTAAAAGTACCAAGAAAAATGATAAGAGTAACATGTAATACTCTAATTGGTATACTTAATCATGTAAAAACTTTTTAAAAATATAATTCTAACAGTTTAGCTGTCTCACTTGATTTTCTTTTTCCAAAACTAAAATTCTTTAAAAATGTTACGTAAGATCAACAACTAAATGATTTTAATATTTTTTATTATAAAACAAATTGATTATAAAATTTATTTGGCACTATAAGAAACTATAAGAATAAATGTCAAATAAATGGGAAAGTCTCATCGCTGTCGATAGGACTGAATGCAGAGGCGAATTTAAAATTTAAATTACTTAGTAGGTTTAATTGTACACTAAACTTATCGTACTGTTAATATTATGAATTCAAACCTAATATTTATTAAGATTTTAATAGGTTTTTTATAGACAAAATTGATACTTTGTGTTATGTATACGGGTAAACTCGAGGTTAGCGCACACCCCGACTTCCTAGTAAGTCGAACGAAGTAAAAGTATGAATGTATGAGATCGAGACTAAAGCTAGAAACTCTTTGGATCGAGGCTAGAACAGGGTACTTGCCACCGGGCCTGATAAGACAATACTCTCCGAATCCAGAACGAGCTCCAAGACTTCGGAAAAAACTGCAAACGGTTGCACACAACTAACAGAGGGCCGTGATATCCGCACCCAATCGAATATCACGGTGCGGATCTCGCGCGATGTCGGTAGTGTATCAGTAATTGACGAGAAAGGAGGATTTTTACTTTTTTTTTAGAATCGTACTAGGGATGATACTCTCCTACTATATAAAGCGAAAACTTTTTATTCAATAGACACATTGTAACACGTATATCAAGGCAATACAAGCTTATTTCTCTGCTTCCTAGCTATTGAAAAGTTCGTACGTTAATTATAGTTCTTCATATACATTTGGCTTCGAATCGAGGATCCGGTCGAGGACAAAACTATTGTTCGGCTTTAATCCGAGCCCGACCTTAACGCACAACTTGTTTGCTTATTCATTTTATCTTTAATTCGTTTATCTAACATTCTTGATATTTGTGGATAATCTATCTACATATTCTTAAAACCGCGTATATTTTAAATTGTTATCCGTTTTAAAGGAAAATAGTTTGACGCCCACCGTGGGGATACGGATAATAGTGGTGGTCTGATACAAATCTCCATAACGCACTCTATTTTACACTTGTTCTTTGAGGTCTCAATTTCAGGTTAGCATAAAAATGTCAAATTCTCAGTCTGCTCGCTTGAACGTTGAGGCTGAGCCTAGCCATCACGGCGAAAACAACAATATGGCGCCTAGCAATGAGGTGGCCCTACTGATCCCAACGGAGTCCGAGTAGATCTAGTCGACGCCAATTCGCAGGTTGCTATCGACATCAACCCACCAACTGACCCCTAAAACAACATTCACGGAGGCTCCCGATCAGGAGTTCGAGAAATGCCTGAAGGTGAAGGCGATGGGGTAAGCCTGCGGCTAATTTTCGAAATGCTGTAGGCTCAACAGATGCCAATAGTGCAGGTACAGAATCAAGGCCACTCCCTGGCGGGATCGAGCTCGAGCGGTCTCGGGAGAGCACCCGAAGAAACGAACAAACCGCCGAGAGGTCGGGTGAAGCTAAGCCCTCGCCAACCCCGAGATAATGAAAATGCTTGAAGCATTGACGAAGTAGGTGGAATCAGGTGAGAAGAAAATTGAGGCCAACGACAAGACGGTGGAGACACATAATTCCAGTGTCGATCAAATCCTGGAAGCACCTCTGATATTGAAAGGACTGGATTCCAAGAAGTTTATCCAAAAGCCTTTCCCTCTAAGCCCTGCACCAAAGCCGATCCTAGAGGTTTCGTATGCATGATATTCCAAAGTAAAATGGAACCATAGATCCAAACGAGCATGTGACCTCCTATACATGTGTCATCAAGGGGAACGACTTGAAAGATGACGAAATCGAGTCGGTTTTGCTGAAGAAATTTAGGGAAACTCTGTCAAAAGGAGAAATGATATGGTATCACAACTTACCCCCAAATTCTATTGATTCATTTACTATGCTTGCAGATTTTTTTGTGAAGGCACATGCCAGGGCCATCAAGGTCGAAACAAGAAAATTGGACCTTTTCAAAAAAAACAAACAAAGAGATAACGAGATGCTCATGGAGTTCGTGTCAAGGTTCCAGATGGAACGAATGGACCTGCCTCTGGTTGCCAATGATTGGGCCGTTCAGGCATTCACTCAAGGACTTAACCCCCGAAGATCCATGGTTTGCAGTAGCTAAAATGAAATTTGGTAGAGTATCCGGTGATAACCTGGGCCGACGTCTACAACAGATACCACTCAAAAATTAGAGTCGAGGACGACCAACTCGGAGCCCCTTCTAGGTCCGTTTATACTGTTAGAACCCATAACATTTCTAAGAGAGTCGTTAATCATGAACAAAGATCATTCTGAGACAAATATCAACCATACATTGGAGAACAAAGGGGAAACGTCTCCGGGCGTCACCCTACGAGGAATGAAAAAAGAAGCGATCGAGGGCCCAATAGCTAAGGTCTGATGAGCAACAATGGTTTTGACAGGGTGCTCGGGCCAGGGAGGCAGCAAGATTGTCAAAATATAACTTCAACGTGGATGCTGCCAGTATTGTATCAGCCATCGGGCGCATCAAGGACACCAAGTGGCCTCGACCATTGCAGTTCGACCATACCCAGAGAGATCCTAAGTTGATGTGTAGTTATCATGGAACCCATGGCCACAGGACCGAGGATTGCCGACAATTGAGAGAAGAAGTTTCCCGGTTGTTTAATAACGGGCACCTACGAGAATTTCTAAGATTGAGCCAAAAACTACTTCAGAAACAAGGACGCCAGCAAATAGACCGAACAAGAGGAACGTCAGCACATCATCAACATGATCAATGGAAAGGTCGACGTCCCTCAAGGGCCAAAGATAAAATGCACTAAAGTGTCCATCACGACGGAAAATCGCACCCGCGATTACGTCCTGGAGGGAACCATTTCGTTCAGCGGCGAGGATGCCGAGGGCATCACATAACCTCATCATAATGCACTAGTAATATCTATACTTATCAATAAATATCGAGTTAAACGTGTGTTGATTGATCCAGGTAGCTCGGTCAGCATCATCAAATCGAGGGTCGTAGAGCAATTGGGGTTTAAGGATCAAATAGTGCCAGCAGTGCGGGTGTTGAACGGATTTAACATGGCATGTGAAACTACTAAAGGGGA